GTTCCTGACGATTACTGGTTCGCCTTTTGCCCAATGCTCTTGAAAATGAAGAAGCCCTTCTTCCTTCAAGACACCAAGAGATTCAGGACAGAAAAGGTAGTTGTCACTCGATTTTGTCCTTGAAGCTGCTTTCCTTGTCATCTCGGTCTCTAAAGAAGAACATCTACAGTTCAACATTCTAGGGCTAATATTGTATGATGACAAGAAAGTCTCTGCTTTGTGCTCTAAGTCTGACATCAACGTCAGTGGTAGGATCCGCTTAAGCTCTAACACACAATCACCACAACCACCTAGATTTTCTGGTGCACAAGTGATGCTTCCATTATCACCAAAGTTCCACTTAGCGTCGGATGGGTTAGCTTCTTCGTCTTCAGAAGTGGAAGAGGAGCCTGGTTCCGCGGTATCTAAACCATGCATATATCGATATCCTCTATCAACATAATGTGACTTCATTTCAGGGCGTTCAGAAAGCGATCCTTCACGAATCTCTTGACAGCACTTTAAACATAGTTCATAAGAGCACTTTGGGCAGCTTCGGTGCAAGTCCTCAATTGAAGTTGCACAATGATCACTGCAACACATGAATATTTCAGTAAGATCCTCGAGAAATTAAAAATATCCAAACTTAGTGTGCTTACTTACCAGTATACACGTTCATCAGTGTAGTTTATTGTCTCAGTTATTTTAACTTCGGAAGGCAGTAATCCTACAGAAACACGTCATGTTACCCAAAAAAAACTCACATTCAGCAACAAAAACCACGTCTTGGTAAAGCAAGATTCATACCTTGAACCTTTGCCTCAAACTCAATCTCTTGCTTCTGGAATTTGGATAACTTATTCAGAAAAGGAAGCATCAATGTAACCAAGTACTGGAGATGACGACGTCTTTCACAATTCGCGAGTTCCCTCTTCGATGTCTGTAAAGACAGAAAACACAAGTACAATTAACAAAAAATCCAAATCTTTTGCAAATGGATTGGTAGAAATAATCTCATCACACCTCGATTAAACCGTTCAAATGCAAGCATTTACTGCAATTACAATTTTGGCGGCAGAAAGGACATTTTTCAACAACATCATCCTCAGATAGATGTGGATACCTGCAACAAACCATAAATAGAGTAAGGATATATTATTACAAGACAGATATATATATATATATATAGTATCAAAGTTAAGACAGAAACTAACCATTTCCTTATACATTTAAGACAATACATCGTCTCTTCACATTCACTGCAAATGAGAAGAGTTATCCTTTCTCCTTTCAAGCACTGATGACAAATTGGGCCACCTTCTTTCGATTCCTGCCAACACAAAACATTATATATGTTAAACCCTAAACCCTGATATCTCTTCTTTGATCGAACATAAAGACAAGTTTACCTGTTTTCTGCTAGTAGTGTAGTCATTAGATATCCCATTTTTCAGAATGGAATCTGATACATCAGAAGCTGGAGACCGTGAACGAGAAGGACTAACATCAGTAACATTTTCAGGACTGTTAGAACTTAAATTGCGGGTTCTGCTTCGTGACGATGTTGCCTTGATCTTACAACACAGTCGAAGTTCTTCTTCCCATTCCTCATCTTCTTCAAGTTCTACTTGTCGCTTGTCTTTCCTTTTACTACTGACATCAGAAAACCAATTACCTACTGTGCAATCATCACCTTCTAAATATTCCCCTGACTCTATCGTAACCATAACTTCTTCTTTGCGCTTATCTATCCGTTTCGCAGTATTCCTCCGAACCCAATCACCTAATATGCAATCATCATCTTCATAATACTCATCACCGATTTCTTCTACTTTGCATATATTTCTCCTTCTTTTCGCATTCTTATTAACCGCTGAATCATCGCTATCATCTCTCGAATGCTTCCGTTTCCTGTTAAAGACTTTCGCTCTCGTCTCACCATCTTCCCTACTACTACTACTACTGCTAAAACCTTTCGACTTAAATGGTTTCAGACTTCTCTTCTTCCTCGTCGTCCACGAATATTGATAAGAAAGTTGCTCCAACTTAACACCAGAATCCATGTTTAGCTCTGTAAACAAAAATCGCCAGTGATGATTCAGATCTATGAACGAGATTTACCCCAAAATTGAAACAAAAACGATTCTGAATTTGTGTTTGATTTTGAAAGAACAACAATTCGAGTTCTTCGATCATAATCAATCGCAACAAAACAGTATATGATCAATCGATTCCAATCAAAATCCAAACAACATTGTTAAAAGTTAAAACCAAATCGATTCAAAAGATACAACAATTCCAGAAAATTGGAATCGGAAGAGGATCGAAACTAAAATTTACCTCGAAGAACTTTGCAACGATGAATCTCCTTCGAAAACGAATCTAAACCCTAGATTCGAGCTACGTAGTTAGACGAAGATTTGGATTCTTAAACTTATTAGCTTTCCTTTTTATTCATAACCAAAAAACAGAGGAAAAAAGTTTTTTATTCGGAGAGATTTTCGCAGAAAAGAAGAGGAAAATTTGTGAGCACGGAAAAAAAAAGGATTCGTACCAAATCTCACCGTTAAAGCACTGTTTGGGACCAATAAGATCCGTGGACCGCAAGCAATTATAGAACTGCGTCGCAGGTGAATATTACCTTCACCGAGACACTCGCTTTTTCATCTGTCTGAAGGAAGGATTTATTTCATCTATAAGCTTTTTTTGTGAAATGTATTGGTGTTTGGAAACAGTAAATATTCACCACGTGGAAAACAAAATAAAGTACGCTACTAAACGCAGATCTGAATAATTAAAGCATTACTTATTATTTTATTCAGCAAGCTAAAAAAGCATTAACTAATTTCCGGATTTAATTCTACTTTTTTTTTTTTTCGGCGATTTAATTCTACTTTAGTCAATGGTTTTTAAGTCCTTGTGGATTTTCTTTGCATTGAAAGAGATATTTTGGATTTATTGTTGTTCTTACTTCTACTGATATTTATTGGCATGTTTATCGTTTTAGTATTTAGTATTAAAAACCAATTTTGTCTTTCGTTTTAGTAATTATCGTATGAGATTTATCCGAATCCAAGATCTTCTGAGTTCTTTTTTTTTTACAACTCAATAAATTCATTAGATTCTCATAACTAACCAGGAGTTTCGTTCCTACAAACATGAATTAATATCTGCAGATATTATCTGTGATTTAATACCGTTAGGTTTTTAAGAATTTTTTTAACATAATTACAATAGATTGACTAATTAAATAGTGTGTCAAACCAAAAATTTTTTTTTTGTCAACAGCTTTTAATTAAAAATTCAAAAAAATCATTCCTGAGGAACGTTGTTTACATATGTGATGTGATGCGGTTCGGTGCGAACTTTTCGCACCAAATTATCCGCTTTTACATTTGCACTTCGAGGGATTAAAGATAAAGAGAAGCTTGAAAATTCCTCTTTGTCTCTCTGTAAATCTTCTAAATACACTGAGAAGGCCGGCCATTCGGTTGGGGAAGACACCATCTTCACCAGGTCTGAACAGTCTGTATAAAAAGCTACTTCTTGAGTGTCGGCTCCAATCATACACTTCATCGCCCAAAGAAGAGCTTCCAATTCTGTATGTAGTGGAGAAAGACTTCTTCGGATGTTGGCAGCTCCCATAGTTGGCGTCTCTCCATTTGAGGATGTGCAGAATCACTCTATTCCTGAAAATTTATCAGTCTCTTTCCATGATCCATCCACGAAACACCGATATCCGGAGTAGAGAGTATCATGGGAACCATAATTTTCATTCAGAAGCTCTAATTGAGCTAACTGCCACGAATGAGCCTCTTTTTCCGCTAAACATAAAACCTCTAATGGGTCTTTATCCACATTTTCAAAGATCTTTTCATTTCTAACTTTCCAAATATACCAAATTATCCATGGATATGGAGAAGAGTCTACCTCTGAAGGAATTCTCCAAAAAAGATGATCCAAATTTGCGTAAATTGAGGCCGTAGGGAAAATTCCCGGAACCGTAGGAATCTGAGAAAGTGCCCAAATTTGTCTCGCTGAATGGCATTCAAAAACTGTATGATTAATTGATTCCTCTATCGCACCGCATCTGCCGCATCCTGTTTCAAAATTGTGTATCAAATTTTTTTAGTTTTTTTTTTTGTACATGTATAATTGTGTTAATTGGATATAAGCCTTATGCCGTTCCATTCTATTGGGCCGGGCTTCGATGTAAAACTCTTTTAGGATACATTTTTTTTGTACGATTAACCCTCGAACACGCACTATAGGTAGTCTCTTGACCAAACCAATTAGATGCGATGCTTATTACGTCTAGTACCATACATATGTCGGAAACTTTTTTAAAAAATTGTTTTGTGCTAATAAATAAAAGTTTTTAAGGAAAAACTTATAATTAAACTTTATAACAGTAAAGATAAGGTACATGTATGTATTATTATGGTTTTGTACAGTAATTAAATTATATTATATTTATAAATAAGTAAGATAGTTGTTGTTAAAAAAAAAAAAAAAAAAAGATAGTTGTTGTTGATTTTTGGTATAGAACTATGTTTTAAGTTTAGATTTATTTAAAACAAATTTTATTTTAAATAATATTACATTAAAAAAAAAAAAGATAGTTGTTGTTGTTGAGCCAAAGAAAAATACTTTTTTGACAACCAAACAAAAAAAAAACTTGCCAATTGGAAAAATATACTGTTTCATTGTAAGTATCATTTAAAAAAAAACGTCTAATTTAATACTCCCTCCGTTTTAGTTTAGTTGTCGTTTTAGGACTTAAATTTTGTTTTATAATAGTTGTTGTTTTAGGTTTTCAATGCAAATGTTTGGTGAAAATTTTAGTTTTATCCATACTGTTTAAATGTTTTGGCCAATGAAATTTTTTATAAAATACATTAATAAAGAATAAAATAGAAAATTTAATGTTTTTCATAATTTGTGTGAGAAAACTTTAAACGACAACTAAAACGAAACGGAGGGAGGAGTATTTATTTCAACTGAAACCATGATGCAATTCATTCCAGAAACAACAATTACAAAACCGATGTAACAAAAAAACGAAGCAATATGAAATTTGCATTTAATCACCTCTTTTTTTACAACAAGCTCAAACAAAACAATGATAATCAATCATACAAATATACAAAACCTTTCACAACACGTAACAAAAAAAAAAAAACCATTTCACTTATTTACTCATGGACCATCAAGGCTCCGGTTTTCCCTTACCCGTATCAAGTTGATTAAAAGGCGGTGATTGTGACGAGCCACGGCTCGCATTGCTGCTCGCCACAGTGGTTCTCCGGGATCTTTGACGTGTGGTTGGTACAACTACACAATCTTCATCATCTGAATCCTCGATTAGTCCCTCTTCATCTTCATCTTCTTCGTCTTTGAAAACCGGATGAATATATGCATTTTGAAGAAACCCTTTAAGATTTAAGTTTGGTTCTTTTGCTCTTTCCAATGTATCCTTAATCATAGCTTCCTATAAACCCGTACTCACAAGATTAAATAACACATAGCGAACCATAAAATGTAGTCTAGTTTAAATTTGTTAACCGAGAGTTCTCAATCTTGGTGTAGGAAAATGGAGCCAAAATGTTGTGGGGGTTTATTAGACTAACCTGCAAAGGGTTAATGACGAATGCGGACTCGTACCGGCCTTTGCAAAACCGATGAAAACCGAAGGTGACAATCGCTAGAACGAGGAGGAAAGGCGTGGACTGAACTTTTCCTTTCGTGCTCATTAATCCTAACAAAAGAATTTGTGAGATGATCAATGCCGATATTATACGTCCATGAACGTCAGGCCAGAATGCAGCCGCGCTCTCATACTTCTGATCGTACACATTTATGATCTGCAAAGAAACCCGGTTTAGCTAAATAACCAAGAAAACCAAATGTTATCTTGTTTGATCCTTGTTCAAACTATTTGGCTCCAAAAACATGAAACGGTTAACAGAAACAGAAACAGAAAGTTTGTTTCTTTTTTTATACCTGATGACGGAAGACGAGGTAGGCGAAACCGAAGAAGAAGATGATGAAAGGAAGTAGAACAGGCGTGACCGGAGCGTAGACAAGGCCAAGGAGGAAGTATAGTTGAATCCGAGGCTCTGTAGCGTAGAAATCGATCTGTCCCGGATCCATAGCTTCTTCTCTATCCTTTTCAGTTTTCACAAAGAAGAAGTTCTTTAAATGGAAAATGACTAATGGTTTCAGCCTAAAAATCTCTCCGGCCACACCCGCCCAACCGTCTACCATTATATATGTTATAAAGAAGGTTGCTTTTATCGGTATCGCTACTCCAACTGTCCGCGGAATGCTAAAACAAGAATGTTTAAAAGGTGAGAGCAGATTTTCGAGAGAGTAAAAGTGCGGGTCTAGCTAGTGATCGAACTTACTCGTTTGCGGATTGTTTAAGAAAAGAATCGAGCTGTTCAAATGCAGATCCAGTGATAATGCTACCGAGGAAAACATTCACAAGGTTGAAAATATAGTATCGAAAAGCCGCTCTTCTCTCTAACGATGATATTGAAATAAACCCTTCGAATTTCGACATGATCATCAAAATTGTTGGTAGAAATATCAAAAAGAGCTTCAAAACAATACCGGGAAGAAAACCTTGGATCAATGATTTCATAAACTTCCTGCGCACGCAAGATTGATCAAGAATTGAATTAAGCCTATTCTCAATTGAAATGGTAAGTAAGAAACTTGAGAATGTACCTACTTTTCGACAATGGGACTGAGGAACGGAGCGGATTTCTGGATACCTTCAATACTCGCTAAGGATTGCACAAACGCGATTGGGATGATGAAAAAGAATGTGAGGAAGAAGAAGGCAATGTGCATTACAAATCTCCTTACAGTGAGAGATACGTAAGGCATTGCGAGATTTTCCCAGTACATTTCTCTTGCCTCGGGAGCCCATTCCGTTAACCATTCAGTTGGATTCTTCGTCTGTTGTGTCTGTGCGCAGACCGCAGCGCCCCAACGCGTTTTAAAAGACACGAAAGCTGCTGGCATTACACTTTTGTCATCTTTCTTTATTCTCTTCCTTTCTTCCATTATCTATGAAAAATCAAATCAACCCGAGAAAGCGAACTATGTCACATTGATTTTATATCAACCGAGGAAATCTGAAAACAGAGAAATCAAAACCGAAAACCGCATTGTGCACCCCTAGAGAAAATGATACTTACTTGCTCGCTTAGTTTCTCGATCTCAGCTGTATAATGATCCATTGCATCTACTTTCTTTCCCCATAGCCCGAGAAATCCCAACTGCGAAATCAGACAAAAGTTTCGCTCTCAATATATGTTTCGGCTTTTCGGGATTGTCAAAGTATTTACCTTTACCCGTGGCCTTTGTTCCTTGTTTCTTGTATACTTCAATTGGTAGTAATCTAACCAATTCTGCATTTTCTTCTTCTCTTCTACCAGTTTAGCCAATTCATTTGCATTGTACACCACCTGGATATATAGTCTAAAATACTTAACCAACCAAGAAAATAGCAATAAACCGAAATAAAGATTCATTCCTCCAGGGCTAGGACCTAACCTGATGTGTAAGATAATGGTCCGGGTGGTTAACAAGAAAGAAATGCTGCACGTTTTCCCTAATTGACTCGTCTGAGTCCGGTGGTACGTTCCTAACCAGAACCTGTCAAATGCAGACAATATTCTAAAAATTGGAGCCTAGCTCTTAAGACCAAATAGCAGAGAGATTATATATAAACGAAAAAAAAAACATCTTACAGTGAATTGATCAGCGCGTCGCTTCTCGGATTGGAGAAAAGATAACCGCATTGCAGCAATTTTCTCATATTCCTTCATTAGAACATAGCAAGTCCAAAATGTGAATGCATAAGCCATCACAAGATGTGCCCAAAACCTTTTACCAAATTAAGAACTTCTAATCATTCTAGAGTTAAAAAATCAAAAAGCAGCAATTACAGAATTTTCTTTCTCTAACAAACCTGTCTGATCCACGTTCGACATTTGAAATCGAAAGCTTATCGATATTACTTGATGTCACATTACGAAGTTTTGCTAGCTGCAATCCATCACTGGTCCAATTGACAGGTACTAGTATCGACCATGAAAGTAATGCGATCGGGACAAAGATCTTAAGCCTATAAAATAGTAAAATCAAAGCTATTATTAGTATTCTCTTCTACTATCTAAAGATCAATGCTCAACAAACTTGTAACTATTTAGGCACATTGTATGCAAGAACAAAGAATTTTGAACATTTTGATTACCCTATCAAGTAAATCCTCAAGTAAACAGCAGAATCCAAACCAGCATGATCAATAAGTTCAGGCTCTGGCATCTTCAAAGCGGCGGGCATCCAATTTAAAAACCGAACGTATGATCGAAAGTCCAAATTCATAATCTTGCTCACGAAAGCACCCGAATTCACCGGGCTGCTTCTAACACCTTTTAGGTACCATTTAGGGAAATAAACCCTATCATTGAATGGTTGGATCCTCAAGATTGCAAATAGCAATAGAAATATCAAAGCACTTAGAATATTAATTGCTGCTGCTACTCCAATATCTGCTAATGTCGCCATTTCCTCAAACTATGTATAAAACCCTCACAAATTCTCTCTTCACCTGCAAAAATATAAAGTTTTAGACACAAAGATCAAGTTTTAGATTTGTATAATAATCAAAGAAGCTTATACTAATCTCACATTTAGAAACCCATTACCTAGAAAATTTTGGCCCTCTCGTTGACTCTTTTTTTTTTCCAATGTTCTTGCGATCAGATTGAAGAAAAAAAAATATGAGACGAACCAAGAAATCAAATTGGTAAAGTGAGGACGTGTGTAGATTGTATAGAAGATTCTTCAATCATCAAAGGTTCTTCAAGAAAAAGCATTGCCAAAGTTTTTTGCTTTCCCTTCTCCTTCCTCTGAAAACAGAAACAGAGTAAAGAAACAGAGAGATCGGTTCTGTTAACAGCACTTAAATGGGGAAGAGAAGAAAAAAAAACTTCATGCCGTTTTTGTTGATACAAAACGCTGAAAATACACAGAGAAATAGAAGAAGAAGAAGATGAAAAAGTTGTTGTTGTTGGTCGGCCGTCTAACTCATAGACTATTATTCAAAGTTGAAAAAAATTCATAAAAATGTCTCAATTGGGTTTATTCCTAAATTAAACTTAAACCAGCTCTCTAAGTTTTTATTATTATTACACATTCTGCCTTCTTTGTTTTTAGATATATACATGCTTATTTTAGAGATAAAGTTTAGATCAAATAAATAAAACAATGACTTTGTTCCCAAAATAAGATAATGACTTCATAGTTGGCTCAAGTTAAAAAATCATGAAAATAGCTTGTACATTTCTAATTAAATTATTAGTAATACTATATTTTCTAAATGTATATGAGTCTTGATTATTTTTGTTAATTTCCTAATTAATGATGAATCTGATTAGTGATACAAATCGATGTGTGTTTTTCAACAATAGAACGGTAAAAATATCAAGTTGTTACAAAAACGGTGAGAGGTAACTGTACAAATAAATATGAGAATACTGCTAGTTGATACTGTGTTTGTGATTGGTTTCAACGTAAATGATATATCCGAAACAATAATATGGTTACAAATCAGAACCAACATCAAAAAATAATCTAAATCACAGGTTAAATCCGGATGCAAACAAAAATATAGCGATTATATAAATATTCAACTATAGATTACACATCAGATTGGACATCTTTTGATTCTGTCCATAACCAAAACTTGTAGCTTATTTGTGGGGAGGTAACGGTAACTTCTAGCTTATTAGTCACAACGACATCGTTTATATTTTATATAAAACGTCGTTTTTAGTCAACTATTCTTTTGTTCTTCCACTCATTCGTTCGCGTTTTGCGAAATAGCGTGCCATCACGTTGAAGTATGAATCACCTTTTTGTTTATTTTATTCCCAATATAATTCTTACGTCCAAATCTATGTGAATAATCTAGCTAGCTACATTATTCTTCTTTTTCTTAACTAATGACCACCTTCCAGTATACATAATTTATCACAGAAATCATATATGAAAGGAGGCTATCTCTCTCCATATGATCGCCACGTCAGCATTTTAGGTTCTTCTGGAGATGCCACATCAGCTTTTTTTCTATCCAATCAAAACATTTCATTAATATGAGTCAGCTTTTATTTTTTACACATCAGCTTCTAATTATTAATGTCAAATGGGGAAAACACAATAGCTCATGAGGGATGACCCATATGAATTTGAAAATCTATTTCACAAGTTAATAATATATTTATTATTTAATTATATATATTATTTAATTTTACATATTGATTTTTACTAATACTAACTTATTTGTTATTTTATGTTTTTTTCCATGAAATTATTTTATTGGTTTTATATACTCCAAAGTTTTTTTCGCTAATTTTTGTAATCTTAACTCAAAATATGAGTGGATAATAGTATAGTGGATTAGCTAATGGTTTGAGTAAGTTTTTCTCTTCATTTTTTGATCTATATATGACACTGAGGGTGAAGAGTACGTAAGGTCATCAAATTTTGGAGGTTCTATAATCCTAACATTACCATCTATAAAATTGGTTTAGGAAAGATTGTTTACGGATTGTGTGAGTGATGCATTGTTGAGTATGTTGGTTGAAAATGTATTTTAATACTAAGAATAGTTGTTCATTGTATGAGTAAATGATTAGATAATTAAAAATTACATTTATCATAATATAACATCAAATAAATCAAAATTAAAAAAAAAACCCGGAAAAAACCTCGGTGTAAAGCGGGTGATTAACTAGCAACAAGAACAATCAAAATAATTTGTTATTAACAACTTTTAAAACAAACCCACGCGTAGCGTGGGTATTCATCTAGTTTATCTAAAGACATGGGTTAAGACTAACTGGGATTACATCAAAACTGTAATTGTTTTTTAACACTCTCATTAAATTAGTGCTTGTAGTTGTGGTACCATGTCCAAAAAGGTAAACCTTTGTATCAAATGCTATGAATAATAAATTCAAAAAAATGCTATGAATAAATATTTAAAACAAACAAAAAAATGGTTGAGAATATAATTTTAAATTCTTAATTTATTTATCTTGAAAAAGTAAGTTAATAGTAGCTGTTTGCATGTGCCTTTAATAAAACCAAAAAAAAAATGGCCTGATCTGACAAAAGGAAATTAATAAGTTCCCTTAACAAATAAGAACAAATAATATCGGTGGTATTGGTTCTTATCTCGGATTGCCGGAGAGTTTAGGGGGCTCCAAGACAAAAAAAAAATTTTTGTTAGAGATAGACTACAAACAAGGATTAACGGTTCGTCGGCCAAATTTTTATCAAAAGGGGGAAAAGAAGTGATGATTAAATCGGTAGCTGCAGCATTACCAACTTATGTTATGTCGTGCTTCAGACTACCGAAAACAATCATTTCTAAACTTATTAGCGCGGTAGCAAATTTCTGGTGGAGCTCAAATGGTGACTCCAGAGGTATGCACTGGATGGCTTGGAACAAATTGTGCAATAGCAAATCGGAAGGGGGGATAGGATTTCGGAATGTGGACGATTTTAATTCAGCTTTACTAGCAAAATAATTATGGCGGTTGATTACGGTTCCAGATTCTCTATTCGCAAAAGTGTTTAAAGGACGGTATTTTAGGAAATCCAATCCTTTGGAAAATATAAAATCATATTCCCCATCATATGGATGGCGGAGTATTTGTTCAGTTAGATCTCTGGTTAATAAAGGACTTATTAAAAGAGTCGGATCTGGGACATCCATCTCGGTGTGGGAGGATCCCTGGATTCCAACTCAATTCCCGAGACCAGCAAAAAGTAATGGTTCAGTTGCTGACCCATCTTTAAAAGTTAAAGACCTTATAGATAGTCGGTCAAATTTTTGGAATATTGATCTTTTAAGAGCGATCTTTAATCCAGAAGATGTCGCTCTAATAAGCGCTATACTTGTGGGTTCGCCAACAAAAGAAGATTTTTTTGGTTGGCATTTTACAAAATCTGGAAAATATACAGTCAAATCGGGATATCATTCTACACGGATGGAAAAGTCGGAGACCAATTTAAACTGTTTTGGCCCTAATATCAACCCGTTAAAAGCATATTCTTGGCAAGTACAGTGTCCACCTAAGATACGCTATTTTATATGGCAAATCTTAACGGGATGTGTACCGGTTACGGAAAAGTTGCAGAAAAGGGGAATTGATTGTGACACGGGTTGTGCCAGATGTGGCGCAGCAGAGGAAACGATCAATCATACACTCTTTCAGTGCCACCCGGCACGGCAGATTTGGGCGCTTTCACAGATTCCTACGGCTATGGGGGTTTTCCCCACGGAATCTAATTTTACGAATTTGTATCACTTATTTTGGAGAATACCTACGGAAGTTGATTCATCAGCCTTCCCATGGATAATTTGGTATATTTGGAAATCAAGGAACGAAAAGATCTTTGAAAACATAGATACAGACCCATTAGAAGTATTACGATTAGCGGAAAAAGAGGCACAATTGTGGCAGTCCGCTCAAATTGAGCTCCATAATGAAAATCATGGTTCTGTGCACTTGGTAAATGGAATTCGAGGGAGGGATGTTTCACTTGAGACGGAGTATTCGGGATACCGTTGTTTTGTGGATGGATCATGGAAAGAAAGTGATAAGTTCTCCGGTACAGGTTGGTTTTGTATATCGTCAAATGGAGAGCCGCCAACCATGGGAGCTGCGAACCTCCGTAGAAGTCTATCTCCACTACATGCCGAAGTCGAGGCCCTTCTCTGGGCGATGAAGTCTATGATTGGTGCAGATAATCAAGAGGTAGCGTTCTTTACAGACTGTTCAGACCTGGTGAAGATGGTGTCTTCTCTAACCGAATGGCCGGCGTTTTCAGTGTATTTGGAGGAATTTCATAGCGACAAGGAGGAGTTTTCATCTTTTTCTTTATCTTTAATTTCTCGTAGGGCTAATGTTAAGGCGGATAATCTAGCACGAAAAGTTCGTACAGAACCGCTTCATATCACTTATGTAAACAACATTCCTCAGAAATGGTTCTTTTGAGCTCTAATTAATTTCGGATGACAAAAAAAAAATAATAATAACACCAATAACAAATGTCTAGGTCCCGATAAAAATCATATTTTTCTGATTTGCAGAAAGCGTATTTTAAGGCCCACATAGCCACATGTATATAGGCCCCCCAATAAAGCCCAATATTACTCACACATGCTTGCAATTTGTATTTTTGTTTTTGACACTAAATTGCTTGTTTATGTTATGAAACACAATGAAAAATTATTCAAGTTACATAAATATAGCTTTCAACCAGCTGTAGATAGTAGTGGTAAACTAGTAATCAATAGTATTATTATTTACCTAGTTGGTTGGAGCTAATCCAACTGTACACGTCACTAAGTGAAAAATTATTCATAATTAATACTCAACAACATTATTGATATACTATTTCTTTATAATAACTAAACAGTATACTTGATTAATTAATTTCTTTAAGGAAAAACGGTCTATTTCCCTACGAGAACTATAACATCATAACAGATAGAGCCCAATCTATGACTACGATCCAGATATCCCCGAAAAAATATTTCTCAATCTATATCTCCTCGAATCAATATTTTTCATCTATTTCTCCATAAATCTGATTTAATCGGTTTACAAACTAAACCGGATAGAAAACCACTCTAACCCAACATGACTGATTTGAAAAACCCAATTGACCAAAAATTTGATCCATTCTAAAACCTGTTGAACGAGAAATTGATGTCTGCAACATCCGTACCATCAATGGCAAAATTTCTCACAAAAACAAAACTTTACTCTCCTCCATCTTGGGTTTCCCATCTTATTATGAATCATTCCCACACGTACATTCATTTCAGTTTTTCTATGTTTCAATTCTTCATTTCTTTCAGTGATCATCACCTTTCTCTTTTTCTTCTTCTACATCTTCAGCTTCCTACTCTGATACATCGGTCTTCCTAATGCCACTAGTTCTAGAAAAGGTGATAGAACCGGATTTATGATTCTTATCACAAGGTCTCATAAATTTCATGACCTCATCTCTCTATTCCTTCTAGACTTTTTTTTTTTTTTGCTTCTCTTCTTCCCTATGCTTACCGCTTTTTTACGAATTGGGCAGCGAATGATTTCACCGGCATGGAATTGAGTGGAAACAAAGTCTAAAAACTCGAATTGTTTATGGCGGATGATAGATACGTCGTCGTTTTGTTAAACCATCAGCAAGAGAAGTAGAGAACATCGTCTCAGATTTGGGATCTGCTTCAACTCCGGTTGTTTCATCAAATCATGTGTTGGGATGACGACGGCGAACGTCGGTGGTGGTGGCTCTGCCGTGGAATTGGATATTCATTGATCTCGATTTTGGGCTCTGGAACCTTTGAGGTTGAAGAGCACTGGCGATTGAATTTTGATTCATGATTGATAGAGAAGAAAACGATAGGTCTAAAATCAGGAAAAGATTTCAAACCTTGGAGGAAGATTGGTAAAAAAGAGATCCTTTGTTTCATCTCTGAGTTTGGATGTTTACCAAAAAAAAAAAAAAAAAAAATCTCTGAGTTTGGATGACGATGATGATGAGCACGAGAAACGGGTTGAAATCGAGTTTATTAGGGAATTGGGTTGAAATCGGGTTAAGATTAGGTTTAGTCCGGTTTGCTATCTTAGTAAATTGGTTAAACAAACAATATACCGAGTAAAACCGATGGTCATGTGTAATTAGATGAGACCTATTTATTCAGGGGAGATATAAGATGAAAACTATCTATTCGGAGAAATATAGGTGGAGAAGTATTTTCTCGGGGACATCTGAATCGTAGTCATAGATTGGGCTCTATCTGTTATGATGTCATAGTTCTCGTGGGGAAATAGACCGTTTTTCCTTTCTTTAAACTTTTAAACCTCAATAGACATAACTCATAAGGTTATATTTCGCAATAGGTAAAATAAAAGGTAAAGATTAAAAATAATTTAAAAGGACAGGGACCTTAAATTAATACCATCGTCAATCTCAAGGATTAAAGAAAAAATTAATAATTACGTTCAGACAAAAAAAAAAAATCATCACTGAAATTCGAGCAAAAAAAACACTCTCTTCTCTCTTTCTTCACTAGCTTCGTTAAATCAACAAATCTTTCTCTCTGAACAAGAGAGCTGTGTTAGTTTATCTATGGCTACGGAGAGACCTGACGAAGAGAAACCAGAGACTCGCGATGTTCGAGTCCAAGATCTGATCCATGGAGGTGGAGGAGGAGCTTCTCCGGTTCAATCACCGACTCGACTCGGTCCGGGTTGGTTCTCAGAAGTAGCTGGTGACAAGATTCGTAATACCGGGTCGGATTTTATTGGGTCGATTTTGTCTTGGATCAACGGAGATCCAAACCGGAGTTTGAAAAATCCGGTTAAGAGAGCAAAGAGGAAACGAATCAGAACGGCGAAAACCGCCGCGTGTGTAATCGCACTTGTTGGTTTCTTCATTTTTGTTAATTGGTTTATGCTCTCTCAGCTTCATGAAGGACGAGCTTGGCTACGGAGAGGTTTCTCGAAAAAACCGAATCTTAAACCGAAATTGAACCCGGATCCGAACCCGAGTATGAAACGGGTATCCGTTAAAGTGTCGGCAAATGTACAGGTAATTAGTTAAAATTAAAAATGTGATTGGTCAATTTTTGTTGTTAACTTAAACTTTTTAACAGTCTGTTTCTTGTCAAGTCAATTTCAAATCCCCAAATATAGTTAAAAAAAGAAGGATCTTTAATTTAACCAAATGGTTAATCTGTGTAAAAAATTAAACTTTTGGTCTAATATACTGTTAACTCAAATAAAGATTTTGTTAGAGAAAAATAAAGATTTGTTAGATGAAATGTGAAACTGCTGTGGTAAATGGTAATTCAACCAAACATCGTTAGGAGATAAAGTTAGAGTTATTACCTTTTTAAGATTTTGCTAGATGAAGTATGAAATTATTGTGGTAAATGGTAAGTTTATGTAATGTAATAATATGACATGATTTTTGCATTTGGATTGATGTTTATGGAAGTTTCATTTGATGTTTGTGTGAATCTGATTTGGTAGCATGGAGAGAAGAAAAAGATGGGAAAACCAAAGAAGAAATATAATGGGACCTATGGTAGATTGTTGGCTTATGCTGCTCATGCTTTGGCTGAGGTATTATCCTTTCCGCTTTCGACATTTCGATTTCTTAAACCGAAAAGCCTACCAACCGAGACATTGTTTTTGCTAGGGGCAAAACAAGCTTGAGCCGAAAGAGCTATGGAGAGAACCGAAGGACCAAGCTTGGAAGCCTTGTGCTGATCAACGTTCCTGGAAGCCTAGTGGTCTCTTACTCTTACTCTCCGAGAGTTTACTTCTCGTGCTAAATCTTTATTTATAAGTTTTTCTGATTTTGGTTATCTTTTATGTGTGGATTTTAGATGGGAAAAATGGATATATAATGGTGACTGCGAATGGCGGGATCAACCAGCAGAGAGTTGCTGTAAGTTGTGATTGCGTACACATTACTTAGTACGACTTTTTTTATCGACTAACCGCTGGATTTCACGGGAAATTACAAACAGGTTTGTAACATTGTTGTTGTTGCGCGGATGCTCAATGCGACTCTCGTTGTTCCCAAATTCATGTTCAGTGATGTCTGGACCGATGCAAGGTAACTATTGTAAGGTCCCTCCGTTCTCTCACTTCTTCTCTTATTATTCATGCTTTTTACTCAACATCGAATCTTGACATTCTTGAATTCGTATATATGTGGCCTCATAGTCAGTTTGGAGATATCTATCAGGTGGAACATTTTATCAAGTATCTCTCTCCTGATATCCGGATTGTAAAGAAACTACCAAAAGAGCTCCAGTCTCTAGATCTTGAGGCTATTGGCAGCGTCGTGAGTTCCTTATACCACTTTTAGTCTAAAAACCGATTTTATCTTTGTCTCTTTTTTCTGATGTATTTCTTTTTTATACGTTTTGTCTTTTAAGGTCACGGATATAGATGTCATGAAAGAAGCCAAGCCCGGGTTTTATATGAAGCACATTCTTCCTCTTCTACTCAAAAACAGAGTCGTCCATTTCTTCGGATTCGGAAACCGTTTGGCCTTTGACCCCATACCGTTTGAGTTACAGGTAAAAGACTTTCTTTTAGCACCGTGGATATCGATATCTGACCCTTACTGATCCAACTTTCTTTTGGGGAGTAGAGGCTGCGGTGTAGATGTAATTTTCATGCGTTAAACTTCGTTCCGAAGATACAAGAAACGGGTGCGATTCTTGTGAGGAGATTGCGAGATAGTGGATCACACCTTGCACCGGTTGACCCTTATCTCGTCGGTCCAAAATTTGCGTCCTTCATATTGGACAAAAAGGCGGGTCCCCTCCATAAGGCTTCTAAGTATCTAGCGGTCCATCTCAGGTTTGAAATCGACATGGTGGCTCATTCTCTCTGTTACTTCGGAGGAGGCGATGCAGAAAAGGCGGAACTTGATGCTTACCGGGAAAAGCATTTTCCGACACTGGCAAATCTAACAAAGACACAGAAGTTTGTTTCTTTCCTATCTTTAATCTTTTTAACCTTATCATAGCGGATTCTATTTCACATGCAATGCTCTGTTTTTGGTCTTGCAGAATGCCCTCTCCGGACGATCTGAGAATGGAAGGGCTTTGTCCGTTATCACCTGAAGAAGCCGTGCTTATGCTTGCAGGTCTCGGTTTCAATCGGAAGACCCGTGTTTTCGTGGCTGGTGCAAATATATACGGTGGGAATAAACGGTTAGCCGCTTTAACGAGTCTCTACCCGAATCTAGTCACCAAAGAGAATGTACTCTCTGAAACGGAGCTAGAGCCTTTCAAAAATTTCTCATCTCAGGTGAAATGAAAAACCGCTTGAACTAACTACTTTTCGGTTTATCGGTTAACTTTTCCAGCCAAACTGAAATGCGAGATTTATATATTTTTTGCTATTTTCGGTTGTGTAGCTAGCGGTTCTTGATTTCATTGCCTGCGCTGCATCGGACGCCTTTGCGATGACGGATTCAGGGAGCCAATTGTCGTCTCTGGTCTCGGGTTACCGGATATATTACGGTGCAGGAAAAATGCCGACGATTAGACCGAACAAACGGAGATTCTCAGACATATTGTTGAAGAACAATACTATAGAGTGGAAAGTGTTCGAGCAGAGAGTGAGAAAGACGGTTAGGCAAACCAAACATGTATTGGTTAGACCAACGGGACGCAGCGTTTACCGTTACCCAAGATGTAAAGAGTGTATGTGTAATGAAGATTGATTATTAATTTGTTTTACATTGTTGGTTCGGTTCGGTTCAGTATTTTAAACGGTTTTCATATTTTCTAATTTTCTATGGTATTTGTAGCGGCTACAGTCATTCTAGTGGTCTATTATTGGTATTTGGGTTGGGGTTATTTTGGTGCTGAAAATACCAAGATTTGGTTTAGTAAACCCGAACGGTAAGAAACATGAGAGATAAGTGTTAATTGATAACCAAAAGAATTAAACTGGTTACTAATTTTTGTTTTCTAACCAGAAGTATCAAATCTAATTTTAATGTAACTAAATCAAACTAAATTGTATGTATATAAAAGAAATAACTAAGGGCTTGATTGGTTCTCCCGCTAGCACCCTCCTAGCGGTTGTTAGCGGTCGGTTGCGGTTGTTAGCGGTTGGTACCAATCATAGAAACCGCTTCGAATCGTTCGAAATCGCTGAATTTCAAAAGCTCTTTCCCGCAAGCGTTTGCAGTTGCGGGCGGTAGCGGTTGAATTAAAAACAAAAAAAAAATCAAACGTTTACTTATAATTATTATAATATATATTAATCATATATATATCTTTCATCTTTGTATCACATTCTCATCAGAAACCCTAATAATATTCTGAAACCCTATTCTCTCAATGTCTTCCACCCAAACTGATGAAAATCAAGAATCAAACGTAAGTATCATATATCCTTTTATTCATTTATCACCTCATGTGTAACTTTTTGAATATTTGTCATGACATCGTTTTTTTTTTCATTACGTATTCCTTTGCTTTTTGATTGAATATATGTTTCGATTTATTTTTTCGAATAGAAACTCACTTGCTTTTTGATTGAATTCAACGTTATTTATAGTTTGTCCCATTACTTGATGCAATTTTTGATGTTAAACCAGATGCATAAAATACTATCTTGTTACAAAATTTCTTTATTTTTGAAT